GATATAAGGCTAGAAATGATAGGAATGCCCTAAAGTCATTCTAGGGTTTTGGACAATTTGAGATAGTAGCTTAAATTGAATTGTTTAAGCTATGAGACGACCTCAAACAACTAGGAAAAACTGGGGAACAATAGTTGAGGAATTTACACAGATTGTAAAATTAATTCCGTCCCCAGAAACTGACAAGGTTAGCTTTAATTAAATTTAAAGCCTATTTATACCCTACCCGGGGAAAGTCAAAATAGCTGTTTAGAGTTTGACTTTTGACACGAGAAAAATTAGAGGAATTTCCTGTGATGAAAGGGAAAGAATGAAACCCAGAGACAAATTAACAGAGTTACGAGTTGATAGAAAGAATTCAGAGAAGGTAACCCCGATTAAGTATTATTTAATGATATTTTTGGGAAAAGGAGAAAGAAAATATCTAAAGACCATCATGACGGTGCTGAGTCAGCATGCTGAGTCACTAAATGCAATCATGACACCTACGAGTCATCATACTGAGTCACCAAATGCAATCATGACACCTACAAGTCATCATGCTGAGTCAGCAGAAGATATTTATGGACAACATAAAAATCAGAATGCAGTATGGAAATATTTTAGACAGTCTTTTGTCTACCTGTTATAGTGAAATCTCTACTACATGACTCAGTAAGGTTAAGTAGCCTGTTAGTAGAGCTAATTATTTTCATCTATGCTCCTCTAAGATAGCGCCATATATGTACTTAATTAAGATGAGAAAATGGTGCTAGAACATGTCTCAGTGGCACCGGGTAAGTCAGAACTCAGAAAAGTACCCGATATGGTGCAGAATAGCAAAATAGGTAGAGGAATGCCTAAGGGCTATATTTTGGACGAATTTTATATTAATTTCCTCCCTATTTTAATGCCAAAATGATGAAGGAATATGGAAGGGACAAATGTACGGTTAGATCAGAAAAGAAGGTATTACGTGTACAGTTGGATGCAAGACACATATACGGTCGGATGCAAGGCACGTGTGTGGTTGGATTAAAGATATGTGGCTTGATGATGTAAGCATGATGTCATCAAGATGAGGTAAGTATGATGTCATAGGACACGTGTCATCACAAGATAAAAAGGGAAAATGGACGGTCCAGATCAAGCCACGTATTTTAAGATCAACGGCCGAGATTTTTGTTCTTATTTTCTATAAATACCCTGACCTCCCTTGTTATTTTTGAGCTGGTAGTTGGTTTGATTAGATTTTTGATGATTGAAATCTTATGGGGAGGTGCTGCACGAAATTTATTGGAATAGGAGAAGATGATATGGATGTTAGAAGCATGTTTAAAGGCTTGGAAACAATAAGAATCAAGTGGTCCTGTGTTGATTTTGCAAAAAGTCCAACTTTCCCTTAGTTTGTGATTCTGTTCAGCCTTTTTCTAAATAGTTAGGATTGGATTTTGATTGTTTGAAGCTTGGAAATAGATTCTACATGTAAAATTATGTGGGAATAGCATGTGGAAATAATTTTAGGAAGGTTGGAATTGAAACTCAAAAGTTAGAGTTCAAGTATGTTCAAGAAAGAATCAAATAGAGATAAGTTGATGACTTGATTCTAATAATTGTTTTGCATAATTTATTGATGTGTTTAGGACCTTGAAATATCCAAGAGAATATTTAATGGTGTTGACCGAAAATCCATAGGGTTGGAAAGACAAGGGAATCAAAGGAAAAGCAAGAGGAAAGCTATGTTACAAGGTAGTAAACTTACTTGTATTGTGTGCTTGACATGTATGCTTGCATGATGTGGTTGTGTTGCCATGATGTGACTAAGCTATGATAAAATATTTGCAAAGTTATGTTTGCAAGTTTATGTTATGTTTTGCCTTGGCAATATGTTATGAAAGCATGAAGTGCTTTAGCTTACTTTCCATGACATTCATGTGTTAATGTTATAACATGTCATGCATAGGCATTATGTCTTGCATGTTTATGGGTAGTGTTTGCTACTGAGATTCTCCCGAATCTCACCCCTCCCTAACCAACCATTTAGGTCAATTAATGGTGGGCAATAATGGCATGAGAGGCAAGGAGAAGAAAGTGGAGAATTATTGACGTTAATGAATGATGCTATTATTCAATGTGTAATTCTCCTATTATGTAATTTATGCTATGGATGCCAATGATGCCATGTATTTAATTAAAATGTTATGGGATGAATAGATATGTATGAGGATGATTGGGAAAGTGTAAACCCAATTTATGTATGTCAAAGAAATAGAAAGAATTAAAGTAAACAGAGGTTAAGGGATAAAACGTAGGTCATGGAGCAGTGAGTTTGTAGCTCCAGTTTGACCTATCAAATGAATGAGTTAAGCCATAAAATTTGGCAGATTCATAGTGCACATCTCAAGCTTTAAAATGAGAGGTAGATCATCTCAATTGGATGTGTACACCAGGAGATATGACTTTTATAGAATTATTTATGATTTTTCAAAATTGGACCTGAAATCTGAATGTAAACAGTGAAAAATAATCCGAGCAGTTATGTTGAAATTTTTAATCCACGGGCTTGTATTTTGACCTACTTGAACCATTACACTTACAAATACGCACTTTGAGGGGTTAAAGGTAGGATGTTTCATGGCTCTCCTTAGGAGCTATTATCCAACAAACATTTCCAATGTCATAATATTACATAACAAGTTCCAAAATTTACACTAGGGTACATTAATTGTTCATTAGGCCTCCGAGACAGTCTCTTTGCCTTTGCCCTTGCTTACACTTCCTCCTAGATGGTGTTAAACATAAGAGTGAGATTTTAAAGAAATCCCAGTAGCACAGAATCACACTTATCATGCATTCCTGCAAACACTACGTGCAATGCTTTTGTGCATTTATCTTGTTTATGTGTTCATGCTTTTATGCCATGGAAAGTAAGTTATCATACACATATTCAAGAGACATAATGCCAAGGCAACATAATTCAAACATTGCAATCAACATTTGCAATAAAGCTTGGTCATATCATGGCACACATTGCACACATACACATTAACACATCAATGTAAGCAAGAAAGCAATCAAATGTAATTCAATGCTACCTTTTGGTACTTGGTCCTTGATTTCCTTTAAGTTCAAGATGTTGTCTTGAGGATTTGGCAAGGTACCTAACAAACCAACACCAATGCCAATCATTCAACAATTATTCAAACACATTCCCTATTACTTAAACATTCAACCCTTTTTCTTGGGATTTTTGGCCTAATTGTTTTCCTTTTGATTCAAGAAACCTCCTTGGCCATTCCTACATGGTTTTTCATGTAGAATTCAAATATCAAATCAAATTTTACAAAATCAAATCCCTTCCTTAAATTCTGATCAAAACAGAAATGAATTTTTTACAAGGAAAGATGTCAAAATTTCCAACTTGACTTTTAATGCTTCCAAATTCAATTCCTCCATATAACCCTACACAAAAATGCCCAAGGAGTTCAATGGAAGCATCATATCCATCAAAATCCAATCATAAGTCCATGAATTCCAGATGGCCGAACACCTCCCTTTAGGTTCATAAATTTCCACATTTGATTCCAATGAATTTAAACATACTTCCATAGCATAATCCTACACAAAATCACATTTTAAATCCATTGGAACCATTAAAACTTATTGAAATAATTGCTACCCTTGAGTTTTTGAGTTGGCTAAACTGAAAAGTCATAGTTCCTAGGGTAATTTCTTCCGTAACCCATTCAAAACTACACCAAACATCAACAACACAAACTCATACTCAATTTGTTATCCTTTCCTAGCACTTCCAGCATAACAGAAATGAAACAGCACTTGCCCCTCAATTTAAGTCACGATTTGGCCATGGAAAAAGCATCAAATTAAATCCTAAACATACCTTAAGGAGTCTTGGATTAATGCTTGATGATTAACCTTGGATTGGAAGTGGTTTGAAGGGTGCTTGGAATTGAAGAAAAATTTGTGCAAAACCTCTCCTATATTTCTAGATTTTTGCACGAATTTTGGCTGAATTATGGGGGTATTTATAGACCTCATTTGCTACCCTAAAACCTGCCCTTGGGCAGCTATTTTTACCCCAAAATTAAGTGTGTAAGTCGGCCAAAATGAGGGAGTAATCTCAGCCACACATCCTTTAACTCAAGTTTCAAGAGAGTTGATCTAATGGTTAAAAATTTGCCCAGCACACAAGCCAGCTATTCTGATCATGATGAGCATGAATTTGGGCCTTGTTGGATGCTAACTAAATGGTAAAAACTGATTAGGAAGCAATGGAATTGGTTAGGGTAATTTTAAAAATTATTTGGTCACATAATACCTAATTTCTTGCCCCCCCATTAGTGAAAAATAGCTAAGGACTTCCAAAATTCTATTTATTTTCATGATAAATCCATATTTATTCCAAAAGTGTGATCTGGAAGTTTTGAGAATTTTTCAAGACCTCTAGATATTTATTTCACATTTTCTCTAAAATCGGGTCTTTACTAATAGGAATTCAGAAGTAAATTCATCATAAATTATTTCCTACATTTCCAATGCTTGGAAACAATTTTATAAATTCATATATATTCTAGGGAGTGTATCCATATTTTTCCTTTAATTTGTGGAGTCCTTGGGTAATTAAAATAATTATATCACTTTAATTCCCCTTTATTTTTCCCTATTTTCCCAAAAATAATTATTTTTCTGGGAATTTTCACCAAAATTTATTTTGGGCCATTCTCACTTCCAAAACATCGTAGGTGACTCAAAAACCTCTAATTCCACCTTTTTCTATTTTTAGGGAATTTTTGAGAACTTTTCTCAAAATTACTGTTTTACCCTTAGGGACCCGATAAAGGCAGTTTTGTCCCGTTTTGGATTTCCATGCTTTACTCATACCTTATGCTTATCAATCATGTCTCATTTCTCACATTCCCATTACTAGGGTTTCAAATTTTTGGATGTTACATTTCCCTCCCCCTTAAAATAAATTTCGTCCTCGAAATTTAAAATGTACCTTATTCGAAGAGTTTAGGATAATTATCTTTCATGTCGTCTTCCTTCTCCCAGGTTGCTTCTTGTTGTGCTAGATTCTCCCAGATGACTTTAACCATTGGGATGGATTTCCGTCGCAGCTGCTTTACTTGATGATCAATGATCTTTACTGGTTTGATCTCCCAGGTTAGGTCATCTCGCAGTGTAATATCTTCATATCCCAAAACATGAGAGGGATCTGGCTGGTACTTCTTTAACTGGGATACATGGAAGACATCATGTATCTGACTAAGGTTTGGGGGTAGGGCCACTTTATATGCCACTGGTTTTACTTTTGACAGAATCTGGAAAGGTAGATGTATTTTGGTGACAATTTCTTCGATTTCAAAGACCTTCCTACTCCCGTTGTCAGAGACACTTTCAAGAACACATGGTCTCCTATATCGAAGGTCAAAGACTTTTGTTTAACATTCGCATAACTTTTCTGTTTGCTTTGGGTCGTGAGCCGTTTATGTCTAATCGACCTTATCCTCTCAGTTGTTTACTCGACTAGGTCTGGCCCATATAGCTTTCGCTCCCCTAATTCTGTCCAACATAGTGGGGATCTACACTTGCAACCATACAAAGCTTCATACGGAGCCATCTGTATACTGGAGTGATAACTATTATTATAAGCAAATTCTGCTAACGGCAGATAGTCATCCCAGTTACCTGTGAAATCCAATACACAGGCTCTCAACATATCTTCTAGTTTCTGTATGTTTTGCTCTATCTAACCGTCTGTCTGTGGGTGATACGCTGTATTGAAGCTTAGCTTGGTGCCCATTGCTTGCTGCAGTGCCTTCTAGAATCAGGATAGAAACTGAGGATCTTGGTCAGATATAATTGACTCTGGCACTCCATGTAATCTCACAATTTCTTTGATATATAACTTGGCAAGTTTTTGTGGTTGGTAATCTTTCTTCATTGCTAGAAAATGGGCGGACTTCGTTAATTGGTCAATAATTGTCACACCTTACTTATATACTACCTTAGCAGTCATTTAGAACCATTCCAGACCACTTTGGATGGTCTTAAACTTGAAAATTTCAATTTGGACGTTAATTTTCGAAAAATTACTGTTCACTGTCTAGTTTTCAGATTACAGGTCCAACTTTGAAAAATCATAACTAATTCTAGAAATATCATATAGAGGTGTTCCAAAATTCTACAGAAAGCTCTTTCAATGCTCTTTAAGGAAAAAATATTCAACTGAACTCATCCTCACTGAAAACGTACAGTTTATTGGATTAAAATTACTATTTGTTTGGTAAAATCTGGACTCTCCAGATTCTATGCCTTAACTTTGAAAGTTCATATCTCTTCTTATACACATCCAAATGAGGTGATTTACCACTAATTTTGAAGCTTGGGATGTGCACTATAAGTCTGCCAAATCTCGTGATTTAACTCATTCATTTGATAGGTCAAACTGAAGCTCAAAACTAACTGCTTCAGGACCTACGTTTTATCCTTTAATATCTCCTTACTTTAATTCTTTTTATTTCTTTGACATACATAGCATGGGCTTAATCTTTCTCATTCATACTCATATACTTTCATTCATGCCATAAACATCCTAAGCATATACATTGAAGTAATGGCATTCATAACATAATTTACAGCATAGGAGAATTATATATTGAATATTAATATCATTCATTTGCATTAATAATTCTCCACTTCTTCTCCTTGCTTCTCATGCCATTAGTGCCCATCATTGATTGACCTAAATGGTTGGTTAGGGAGGGGGTGAGATTCGGGGGAATCTCAGTAGCAAACAATACCATATTAATCATGCTAGATGGATGCTCATGCACTACACGCAACTTGTTTATTCTCTTGTTAATTAGTGACATACTAGCATGCTCAAAGCTAACTTCTTGATGCATGGCCATGGAGACATAATCTACTCATCATGAATAGCAATTACAGCAGCTAAAACATGTCACAACAATATGCAAATAACATGTACACGGCAACACACAAGCATACCATATCAAGCAATGACAATAGGTAAGTTCACTACCTTGCACCTCAAGCTTTCCTTTCACTTTTCCTTTGACTCCCTTGACTTTCCAACCATGTGGGCATTCGGTCAACATCACTAAACATCCTTTTGGATGTTCCAAAGGTCCTAAACATAACCATAATGATGACACAATCCATTAGGACCATTAGATTACATAAAGTTCAAGACTAGCTTTCTTGAACCTCAACCATTTCTCTTAGTCTTAGGGTTTTCTTTCTAACTTTTCTAACATAAATATCATCATTTCCCATTCTTATGATCCATTTCTTATCAATTAGGATCACTTTAGATGGCCTTAGATTCAAGAAGATCAAATCTGGAAATTTTGGTTCGCGGGTACTGTTCACGCAGAATCTCCAGAATTTTTGATCAACTTTCAAAATTCATAATTAAATCTAGAAAAATCCAAATTGAGTGCTTCCAAGTCTCACTGAAATATAATTAAGTTAAATTTAAAGGAAAAATAGTTTCAGGAACCAATTCTACGCCGAACAGTACCAGAATTGTACGGAACTCGACAATCTCCCAAAAGCTCAACACTGTTTCCAGATTTCAAACCCTAACTTTGAAAAATCACCATAAATCGTACACATATCCAAATGAAGCGTTCTACACATGGATTTAAATTCACAGAGTGTACTTTAAGCATGAAAAATTTCAAAATCAGATACGCACAGTAACTAATTCGAAATAGGTATCAAATCAGATGCTACAGCCACCACATACCTTGATCTTGAAGCTTGAACTTTGTTCCTTCTTCTTGGCCTTCACCCCTACGTTTTTCTCTCTAAATTTTGACAGAGTTTCCCCTCTTAAACTCATGTTGGCTGAAAATATGAAGGGGAAGAGGCTCTATTTATAGCCAAAAAAGTTTGCTTGAATGGACCAAAATGCCCTTGGTGGCTAATAGAAAGGGTAAGGGCAAATTTAGAAGTTCAAGTGGACTTTTACATCATCATTGCATCATCTTATTACATCATGCTTACCTCAACCTTCTAGAAGATGCCAAGTGTCATGAAAGTGGTGGAGGAGATGGGAGATTAGATCCTAGCCGTTGGATCAAACTTCTTTCATAAGCTTCCTCAGAATTTACTTGGCCCACGTTTCTCCTGCTTTCTTTATGGCCTTTCGGAGCTCAGAAAATTGTTCTGCCTACTTTATAAATTCCCTTTAATTCTAGATAATATCTATGAGTTTTCTTAGGCCATAACACTTCCTTTAAACCTTGCATAAAAATTCATTTACCAAAATGCCCTTTTATCGGCAAAACCAGCTCTTTAATTTATTAAAGCCACTCCACTGGCCTTTTGGTTACGGGACTAATTTTATAAATTAGTACAACCTTTCAACCATTTAACCTCATTTTTGTATACATTTTTGAGGTCTCTTGCTATTTTAAATAATTACCTCACATGGTATACTTTTTACCGGTAATAACCTCATAAATTCCGTTGAAGCTGCCTCAGGGGTATTTTCGTCTTTTCTCTTAACAGAAGAGCCTCAGAATATTATTTCCCATTTTTTAGGATTTTCTTGGAATTCTTTGTATACTCTTCCATTTTTATCCCTGTTGGTCATAACTTTATGAATTTACAGTTTAGTCCCTGGTTGGACTTAACTTCATATAATCCTCTCTTTGAAGCTTCTAACTTAACCTTTGGCCTATATCTAGTCTCTTTTCTCTCCCTAGGCCTTCGAGACTTTACTGGAGTCTCTGACCTTGATTATACTGAAGCCCCTGAAAAACTTTTATATTGCAGTTTAGTCCCTGAAACTGCTTTGACTTCCTTTCTCATCTTTGGGACTTCTGCTCAAAAAGGGTTTGGTAGCCTATCCAATTCAGGCTACTTTGATGCTTCTAGGCCCAAAAGTCTGGATGTTACAATTCTCCCCCTCTCAAAAAAATTTCGTCCTCGAAATTTCGGGTCAAACCTTTATTCTTACCCTTAATGAGAGGTTACCTAAGGAGAGTATCCTTACTTATACTTAACTCTGACCTTTTCAACTTTTCATTATACCTCATTTCCGAGTTTCCACCTTGGGCTTCATACTTACATAACTCGTCGTTCTAAACTTTTCTGTCATTCAGATGAGCATGGTCTTTGCTTTTAAGTATTTTGTCACCACTGCTCATATTCTTCCTATACTTTAGGCTCATTCTTTCATTATAATACCATGACAGTATACCTGTCTTCTTGGTATTTTACTATACCATGGCATTTTGGGTTCTCTTAATACAGCCTTTATCTATCCTTTGCTGTATACCCTGCCATTCCTCTTTACTTTAAGGGCATATCTCCTTTCTTTCCTTCATTGACTAGAACAGAATTGTGCCTAGTCTAAACGACAATAGACATGTCTGGAACAAGTCAAGGGTACTCTCTCTATATTAGTCCACCGCTGAAGGAGATTTCAGTATCTTAAACTCATCTCTGGTCATTGTCTTCCCAAAGAGGTACTGTACTCTTACCCTTAATGACTCAGCTACTTTCTCTTAGGCTTGGTCTATCATTGTCTTCTTAGGCATTGCTCAATCCTTTCTGTCAACTCCTGAAATTCTTAGCCTTTCCCTATTTCTTTAGCCCTTCGTTTTAGCTTCCTTAAGTCACTTTCCTTTCTTTGTGCCTTTCGAATCCCTAGGCATTAGCTCATCTCTAGAGCCCATTAACTTGCTATTATATCAATGCCAGCCTACCTTATCTTAGGACTCTGTAGTCTTCGCTGTCTCTTAATAGTTTGGACAGCATCAGGAGAGGACTTATATCATCACATTCTCATTATCCTTCAGTATTCCATAGTACCCTATTAAGCTCGAGGAGCATCTATTTGCATATCACATTTTTGTTGTCTTAACCAGTTTCACTCTCTCTCTCTCTGGGGTAAAGTCCATCCTGTGCCTTATCTCGGCTGCTTCTACTTTTCTTGTGGGAGGACAGATTACTCTTACTGGAGCATCGTCAACTCAGCCACTTACTTTCTGTTTCATTCCTTCAGAGGATAGCTTACTCTTACTAGAGCAGCATCACTCTGACGCAGAGAACCACTTCCCAATCTTAAAAGGGTACTTCATGGTCAAGACTTTCCTCATATGCAATCTCTACTAGGGTACATTCCTCGAATACCATATCCCTCTCAAAGGGAGCCTCTCTACTGGATTACTCAATCTTATAGGCAGTGGCATCTATCTATAGGAATCTCATTTCTTAGATTCCTTACTGGCCTAATTGCCATGGTTGCATGCTCTTGGATACTTATCTCTTTTTGTTCATTAGTTCCCACGCAACCATCCACTATCATGTCCTTATTCATTTCCTTTCATCTCTATCCTCAAGAGGGATCTTGCCTCACTTTACTATTTCTGACTTTCTTTACCTCTTGACCAATTATTCTTCTAGTCAGGTATTGATCACCATATTCTCATCACATCACATCAAATAGTAAATGTTTAATCATCTTGCTGTGCGGTACCTAGGTCTGGCACCAATGTCATCATTGACCTTTCATTCGTTGTCATATAATCTCTGTCCCTCTTGGTTCACTATCCCTTAGGAATTTGCACCTCTATTCAGGGATTTGAACAAGCCTTAAACATCTCATTTTGTTACCATGCCTCTATCGAGGTCATATCGATTACTTAAGG